ATATTTTTTAGATTTTGTTCATATTTATTTATTTTTATTTTTGTAAAAACTTTAAGTTAAGTAAAAATATAATTTTAATTAAGAGATTGTCTAAATAATATAATATAGTAAAATACAGAAGGTTAGGTATAAATATTCAGTTTTGAACTTTTTTTATGTTTTTTTACTATGAATGTCAATAAAACTTTATTTGTGGGGTAAAAAAGATTGAAAATTCAATTCAAAGCTAATATTATGTTGTAAAAATGACAATTGAAAAATATTAAAAATCCTTAGTCACAGTTTTTTTTTTTTTATAAGCATTTAAAGTTAAAATATTGACAAAATACGGAAAATACACGAAATCTTGTAAATTATTTTTAGTTAGAAATTCATAAAAATTGGCACCACCTAAGACGTACGTGTCCCCAACCCAACAATATGCATACATGAAATATTTGAAAATGTTATTAATTATTGTTGATTTATCATTACAAGTAATTTGTAAAAATTTTTGTAGTTTTTTTTTCTATTAATATCAATTAAATGTTATTTGTTGGGTAAAAAAGAGTGAAAATGTAATGCAAAGCTCCTGATATATTGTTACAATACTACTTGAAAAATATTAAAAATATATTGTCACAATTTTTTTTTTATAAGCATTTAAAGATCAAATTTTTACAAAATTTATCAAATTTAAAATTGAACAATTATTTTGTAGTTAAAAATTTACAAAATGTGCAACTTTTATATCTAAGGATTGGAATTTTAAAACAATATTCCATATAAGTACTTAATTCTGTTACCGAATAATCTAAAAAATACACAAGCACAGTTTATTTTTATAGTCAATTTAAATTTAAATTTGGACATAATTACCTACATATTAAAAAACCTAAAATAACTATTTTAGTTATTTTGTTGTGAATGTATAATATAATTCGTGGGTACTTGAAACTTCTAAAGTATACTATTATGTATCTAGGATAATATCACGGTTTGTTGTTGATGTATAAAGCGTTATAAGTACCTAATGGATATTGTGATATGATTAATTTGGAATTTATTATAGGTAATTATTAGGTATTATTTGTTTATAAATGGTTGCTATTGATTGCAGATTATAATAGTAATAGTAGATATCAGAATTTTTTTTGTTTATGGATTGCCATTGATTAATCGGGCAGATCAGATTAAAGCAAATATCAAATTTTCGCACATTGCCTACCAAGGTTAGTTGCACTTATAGCCGCTTAGGCCGTGTCCACAATTCACATGAGGATTGTCAGCTTAAAACTATGCCGTCTATCCGCTATCTGACGTACTGACTACTAGGGTGGCTGCAATTACAAAGAATTACACCCAAATGAAGTTGACAATTTGTTTAAGAGTATTGTCATTTTTTAGTACTCGGGATTAGCTAGTTGTTAATAATTGTATAAATGTAATACTATTGGTGAACATTAATTCTACCTACTGTTGCACCACACTATCACTGATAGTAAAATACATTTCTATAAAAGCAATACCCATTATACATAAATCATTAAATATATTCTTTTTGGTTTATAATGATATAGGTTGACAGAAAAACTTGGCTTGGAATCCTTCTTCGAATACAATGATTTATCATTTATTTAATGACAAGGTACACTCGACACCTACAAATGTACAGCAGAGCGGTTACTTACTTTCTTTATTTTTAAGAATACATTTCGTGATTCATTGCACATACCTTAATCTGATCTTTAATAATGAGGTATATTTTACTAGTTTTTAACAACGACTTTTATTTGTCTTATTTGTAATTATAATGAAAAATATTTTCTATAAAATTTGCATGTACAACACCGACCAAGTCGGTGCTTATAAGATATTAGTGGAATGTCAGAGTTAATTAATTAAAACAACCAATTCAAAACCTTATTTATATTTCATTACTTTATTAATCTGATTATTCAATAACAAAAAATAATCAACTCAAAAAAGAGGATCTTGATGGTAACTTTTTGATCAAAATGTCCTCTTAGCATCTAAATTAACATCTAAGTGAACAACACATCATCCCAGTACCCCACTTTATATGAGAATATAATGTTTTTTATTCATTAGTATACCTATACACCATGTGTATATGACCCACAATACGCCACCATTTCTTTTCTACTGGTAATTTAATGATTATAAATATAACAAAGGAAGGGAGCTAGTGAGATTTTACTCCTCAATTATATTTGATATCGCACTCCCATATTATATTTTTATGAATTAGTATGAGATTTTTAAAAAGTACCTCTCAGTAGGCTGGTGAGATGTCACCCTTACTGTGGAGGAATATTATCAGTTGATCTAAAATATTTGAATCGTTTCTTTTAGGGAGGTATTGTGGGTAATTTTATAGCCAGGGGGTTGAATTATTAAACCTAATAGAGTTTTTTTTTTAAACTTCTAAAGAAGAAAAATATATACATAATATAAAATCAGCCTCTGTTAATTTTAGATACAGTTTAAACTATCTACTGATTTGCAAACTAAGGCTTATAATCCAAGACTTACAAACTGCATTTGAAGGGAAGGAAAATTACTTTATACTTGTTTTGCTGGATTGGAGAATTGGCTTATCAGTTACGAAACATATATATTTATTTATTATTTCTTTAACGGGTGGAATAAATCATAAATTATTAATTATGAAATTGGTGAGAATCAACTAAGTAAAATTAAACATTATTAGTAATACTTATTATTTGTATTAAAATTATAAGACTGATGTTAATTTTTTATGCTGCGGAAAAATAACTTTTGGGTTCTATTGAATTCCAGGTGGCTCATTTTGGGATTAAACACATAATAAAATATTCAAAAGTTACAATAACGCGTAATAGCAGAGGAACCTTTATACAATTTCCAATTTATATGTTTAGATGTGATTATGAATAGTTAATTTTTGTATGACAATAATTTAATGGATAAAAAATAACATAAGAAAACAATTATCTGCTTATATAATTAAATCATATATCTAAATCAGTGTTTATAATAACTCGTAAAAATACTATCCACTATCAATTATCGATGTTTATATTGTATCCGTTGGTGAAAATTTGAAATCATTAACCGACTAAGCTAATGAGACACAAAATATTATAATAATTATTGTGTAACGTATATATTATATAATACCGCAAACAATAGTCAACAATATGTACCTATTACCCAAGTAGTCTTCAAATATAACAAACTATCTCAATAACATTATAAAGTTCTACATAAGAATAACATACATATATTATATGTATACTTGAAAATGTCACAATGTCGAAAAATATTGAGTTTAAGTTGTATTTACTCAAAAGTCAGTTGCAATAAATAATTCGTACAAATTATAACAATAACATTTAATTCATAGTTGTGCTTTAATTGGAATTTGGTCAAATAAAACAACAAAACTTTGTAAATAAAATGTATATTACATAATGGACGTTTGTAATGTATACGAGAAAAAAATGCATTAAAAAGAGAGGAAACCCCTACAAACTGATTGTCCTGGTTGTCAAACGACATAGCAAAAAATTCAATTTCGTTTCAAATAGAAATTATTTATGTGTTCCTACAACCGAGGTATTCGACAAAAGAGTTGCTAGAATTGAAAACAACATTTTTATAAAATAAATCAAAATTAATTTAAGGACTTAAAATATAATAAGATATTTTATTTGTAACTATTCAATTCTTGTACAAAAATGTGTACCATACGTCATAATATACTGCAGTGTTGTTGACTGCATACGTCTTAATTATTGTACACATCGGAATAATACCTTATGTTCAGTATAAATTTTCTGTGTTGTGTGACGTTATGGGGACGTTATTATAGTCTTTTATATCAACGTTGCTTTGTAACGTAAGTACGATATAACCGGTTTGTTTTTGTGTGCTAAAAAAAGTTACAAATAGTGAAGTACCACATGAAACGTACCATAGCTGTTTTTGTGTGCTGTTATAAGTTATCAAAAATTAGGTACACATGAAACGTACCGACGTCGTTATCAAGGGGCTCTTGTTATAATTAGACGTAGCGCGTCGGTGTTGTTTTCCAATTTCTGGGTAATACCCTGATACCCCGTATGACCGTATGAAAGGTTTATATTAAACTGTGTATATATATATAATATGTATATTATCAACAATAAGTAAATGACAATATTATAATCGTCAATAAAATTCATTATGTCCTGTGCTCCAGACTCGTTCGTTTGTCTACGGCACTACGCGTTTTCGGTTCTCATGCTCTTATGCTCAGCGTTTGAACGTTCAACTGTACTAAACATTTATTCAATAATCGCATCGAGATTTATTATTTTATTATGGCCGATAATACATTTACATTTACATTCATTTTACATTCATTCATATCATACATTTTGTAGTTACCATTATTAAGATGATGGCAGCGCAATATTTTTCTCTCAGACTCATGCACAACTTAGATAAATCGCTTTCACTTACTATCATTGTTTTATGATTGACAATATACTTATATTATATACCTATCGGTTTTATATTTTTTTATTATTTGACTGAATTTGACTTTCAAAATAAAAACAAAATTTTGTAAATTTAAATTGTTTTGAAACAATGTTTAAACAAATCGATATGTTTACCCTCAAAAATTTAATCTCTAACATTTTTGTAATTGGTGATTTTACTCTAAGATTACTCAAAAACATAAAAAAAATGATTCTGCGTAAATGTGTTTTGTCTATGTTGCGCGTGGTCAGACAGAAAATAAAACAAACAGTAGGTACGCTGACATCCTCTGAAGTCTGAACTCAATATAATATAATATGTAACATAACAATATCTGGTATCTACTTGTATAGGTTTCTCCAAGGTGGGTGATTGTCTTATTCCCTGAGTACAATAAGGAGTATAGTGTTGTACCAATAAATTGGTTGACTCAAACCAATCCTCAGTTTTGCTACTGGCCACCTGGAATTGTTGACAGTGATGTCCTACAAATGGCTGAGGATCCTCAATGTACATGGACTAAGTATCAAGTTAATGTTCATGGTGGGAACAAAACTTATGGTAAGCAATTATGAAAACTTATTTAATAAATAGTTAGAATTTATTTGTAAACAATTATAAAAATTGACACATAAAAAAATATTTGATTTATATCACAGATAACTTTAGGAAAGCATGGTATCAGCAGGTAGAGATTGAAAAATCAACTACGGAAACAGAAGTAGAAGAACACGAAGTCTTAAGACATAAAAGAACTAAAAAGATGCCATCTTTGAAAAATAAGTCTGTATTTGATGTATCTGATGAAAGCGATAATTCCAGAAATTCTGATAGTAATTGTTTAAATTTTCATTTCTTTTATTTGTTAAAGTCATTAGTTATAATTTAAATAATTGTATTTAGGTTGTTTTGATGTAATGGCTTCATCTTCCAACCAACATTTAACAGTAACTATTCCGGCTGCACCGATAGGTAAATTAGCTTCAACTAGTAGTTTTTCACCAACAGTTGGAGTAGAGTCTGCATATAGTCTGGATTACACAGAATTGATGCCAAAAATATCAAAACAAACCATTCAAACTGCTCATTTGTGTTCTGCATCAGACATTTCACCTAAGGTATTTATAGTTACTTATGTCTTGCCATTATAATGTTTTGTATGTTTATGTATCAATCTAAACGTAGCATATAGATTTTCAACTTGTACTTAATAACTACATATTCCATAATTCACATAAATGTTTTAGCAAAGCAATTCAATAGACACATTAAGTGAGATGGTTCTTCAACAAAATAATGGTAATAATACTTAATACTCAAATATTGAAGTGATGGAAAAATAATTTTTTTAAATTACTTTTGAATAATTAATACCCCATTGGTACCTAATAATATAATAATGTTGTGTTTAAAAAAAATACAATTTTTATCAATAAATATTTTAACAAAGATAAATCATTAAATATTTCATAATTTAATACTTAAAATAACTGCTTAAATGTATAACTCAGGTCTTTTTTTTAAATTAATAATTGAGTTAAATTAATATATTTTATAACTTTAGCTATAAACTATATATTTGCTTTAGGTTAACTATTATTTTATATCCAGGGATTGTCATAAAAGAAATATAATTTAAAAAAACCGCCTTCATGCCAACCAAGGTTATTGAATCATAATATAGATTTTATAATAATTCATTCTTTATAGTGTCACACAAATTGTATTTAATAAAACATTAAAAAATTAATTAAAAAACAAGATTCCAATTATAATCAAGAAATAGAATGCATATTATAATTTTTGAATAATATAAATTGTATATTCAACATTTTTTTAGTTAGTATGTGTTAAGACCACGCGCAACATAGACAAAGACCAGTTTTTTAGTTAGTATGCACAATGCACATAATATCTCAATGTTTTTTAGTGTATTCAATTCTGAGCAGTGCTTTTAACTTAAAGTTTTTAATACAACCTAACTTACTCAAACTAAATTTTTTTTTCATCAACTTTTGTTTCAAACAATATAAATATATACTATATTTTAACTGGTATTATAAGTTTTGTTTAATATTTTCTTCTAACATATCTAGATCAAACAGTAAAAATGATGTTGAATAGAATATTAATAAAAATAGCTAATATCGAAAATATTTTATCAAAAAATAATGAAGATAACTCTGCTCTATTAGACGAATCGTTTATATCCAAATTTCCTATTACTAACGCGGAAGGATTTTTGTTGGTAGAAACTTGTATCTTGAATGAACACAGCTTTGTTTCAAAACTGGTAAATTATTTGTTTTCAAATGTTTTCACGTATAAATACAATACATGTATAATGTATTGGTATAACAAATGATAATACATTATTTCATTGTAGAAATTTTTTATTCAATCAATTGGTGGTAGAGATGGCAAAGAACACATAATAAGATCATTGTCTAAACTTTTAACAAATGAATATGCAGGAAAATGTACTATGACTGGTCGTGGGAAGAATATTATCACTAAACTGGGAGATACCGAATTAATCAAAATATTAACAAGTAATATCACAATTTATGAAATCAAATATTTTTATGTGGTGACATAATAATTAGTTTATGAATTATTTTTTTTTTGTCTTAAAGAAGTTATAAAAGAAAATTCCAAAAATAATATTACAAATTCTGATATTGAAGTAGAAATTGCTGAATGGTTGAGGCGTGCTAACACAAGAGTTCACAGAGAAAAACAAAATTAACAACCTCTATTAAATATTTTTATTTTTATTTAGTTTTTTTTACAAAGGACTGTAAAATAAGTAATGTTTGAACTTATTGGTTTTATCTTTAAAGATAAATAATTTTGTTGTTGTTTAGATTATACATAAAAATATAAAATACATTAGTATAAATCTAAGTTTTTACTTATGGTTAATAAATTATATTTATTTATAATAAATATAATAAATATAATATGTTATTGTTTGTTTATTTTCATGACAATAGAAAATCAGTAGAAAAAAAAAATGTATTGGAGAAGTGACAAGTAGGTACTTCAGAAAAATGTTAAACGTGGAAAAACAGAAGTCGAACCATCCTAATAACAAAACTCTTCAATCAAATATCTCCAATCTGACTACACCTCATATTACAGAGACTGGTACGAATAAAATTGTAGAATTTAATCATAGTTTGAAACTGTCTATTCCCGAAAAGAGTAGTAATATTTTATCTGCATCATTACTTGATGACAAATTATGTACTAATTATTTTAACGATGACATAGGAGATATTAATTGTAATATACATGATGATGATGCTTTTGATGATAATACCTCTACGATCATAGAATCATTTAATATTGAAGATGAACTAAGATCTTGGGTATTGAAGTTTAAAGTATCTCATAACAGTGCAAATTGTATACTTAGAATAATTAAATCTGCTGGTATTAATGTACCAAAAGATATTCGAACACTTATGAAAACTCCTACTACACATGTAATTTCTAATATTGATCAAGGGTCTTACATTCATTTGGGACTGGAAAATATGATATTACCTATATTAAAAAAGTACGATTCATTAATATATAGTCTAAATAAAGTTTTAAAGATAGGAATTAATTTGGATGGTCTTCCATTATCTAGAAGTTCAAAAAGCCAACTTTGGCCAATTTTAATTGAATTTACAAATTGTAATATAGGAATATTTCATGGAAATTCAAAACCAAAATCTATTCATGAGTTTTTAAATCCTTTTTTATCTGATCTATTAACATTATTAAATTGTGGCCTAAACGTTAATGGAAATATTTATCAGTTTGAAGTCGGCCATGTAGTCTGTGATTCTCCAGTAAAAAGTTTCTTGCTAAATGTTAAATCTTTCAATGCATACTTTGGATGCACTTCATGCACTCAGGAAGGATCTTATATTAATAATAGAATGGCTTTTTTGGAAATAGAATCACCCCTGAGAACAGACGAATCTTTTAGATCTAAAACTCAAGAAGAATACCACAAAGGTAATAGCCCTCTTGAATTATTACCAATTGATATGATAAAGGATGTATGTTTAGACTATATGCATAATGTTTGTTTAGGTGTTACAAAACGTTTAATAGAGTTTTGGGTTAAAGGGAAGAAGAATGTAAGATTAATTGAGAAAAATAAAGTTAGAATATCTAATAATTTGTTAAACCTACGATCGTATGTGCCATCTGAATTCAGTCGCTTACCCAGAGGGTTAGATGACATAGAATATTTTAAAGCTACAGAACTAAGAATGTTTGTTATACATTCTGGATTAATAGTTTTAAAAGGAAATTTAAGTAAACAAATGTATTCTCATTTTAAACTCTTTGTATGTGCATTAAGAATTCTAATAACCCCTGATATCTGCCAAACTTTAAATAATTTAGCACAAAGCTTACTAAATGAGTTTGTAACTCAGTACTCATCTTTGTATGGTGCTCACTTTGTAACATACAATGTACATAGTTTATTACATCTTCCAATGTATGTTAAAGTACATGGCTGTCTTGATAATTTCAGTTGCTTTAAATATGAAAATTACCTGCAATACATTAAAAAGTCAATAAAAAGTGCTAAATATCCTCTTCAGGAAGTTACTAATCGAATAATGGAAAAGCAAAACTATTTTATAGCAAATAATATAACACTTTATCCTATTGTTATTGTTAAGGAGATTAAAAACACAACATCTTCACCTTATTTTTGTCTTGCTGACAGATAATTTGAAAAAATTTTTATAAAAGATCTGAGAGTAACTATTAATATTAATAATAAACGCGATAAATATATTATGTTAAAGAATAACGATATTGTGATTGTTAACAATATTGTTCAGCCACAAAATAAATTAGGCTTCAAGCTAATTGTTCAAAAATGTATGGATTCTTCCTCTCTTTTTACAGAACCAATTGTATCTTCAATTATTGGCTTACATACTGCGGAAATGGGCCACGACTGGAGAGGATACCTGAACGTTTGTACGTCGGCGTTGCTTAAAGAAGCTAAAGACAAGTAAGCAAGAAGTCTAATTTGTAATCGTAAATGTATATTATATATGCTCGATATTATATACATTGTAATACCTAACCAAAAACGATAGTTAATAAAAGAAAAACCAACTCTAGTGACTACATAATATAGATAGATAAAGGAAGTCACCATGAACATTCAAAAAGTACATGCTATAACTTTTTCAAATTTTTCTTTTTACCAATTCTATACACATAGGTAGTGTATTATTCACTATATATATAGTATTGTAAAGAGCTCGAACAAATATAGTACAACTTACTATTGTAGTATTGTCTATGAACTAGTACAAGTTGGTATAAGTAATAATAGTATGTTCTATAATAGTAATTACTATATTTACTCGTCTAAAGTCTAAACTTAATTTAATGTTATTTAATAACAACAATATTATATACATCATATTATAAGGAATAACACAGAGGGGTAGGTATGTAAAATGTTAAAATCGCCCTTCGAGGTGCACATCATCATCCTAGGGCACACAGGATTACCCCTCTTTTAGCCTAAATTTCAAAACCATAATGAGTGTGATAGACTTGGCTGTGAATCGCTTTCGCGGACACAAACACACAAACGTCACAAACATTGACTTTTTTGATATATATAGAGGATTAAAATATTAGATATTATATAATCATACGACCTGCAGATATAATGTTAATCTGAAAATTTACAACTTGGGCGCTATCATGTAAATAATATTAAACGCGGTACCTACGTGTGTTTTCACGAACAGGGGATGGATGGCCGTGGGCAGTTTCGAGAACGTCGACATATCGTACAAGAAGGTCGGCGACGGACACCCGTTGCGGCTGTGGCGGGTGTGCACGGAAGTAGAGGCGCCACCCGCCGAGGTGCTCTGGCAGAGGCACGTGTGGGACGCCGACCTGGTGTCGGCCAGGGTGGTGGCCAAGATGGACGCGCGCGCCGACCTGTACCAGTACGCGGTCGCGGCGATGGCCCCGCATCCGGCCAAGGACTATTGCGTGGTCAGGTCGTGGCGAACCGATCTCAACCGGGGCGGTTGCGCGGTCGTCGAGACGTCCGTCGAACACCCGGACGCCAAGCAACCGGCGGCGGGCTCGGTCCGTGGCATCGTGCTCGCCTCCAGGTACCTGATCGAACCGTGTGGTTCGGGCCGATCCCGAGTACTGCATTTGTCGCGAGTCGACACAAAGTGAGCGTACCATTTGGTTTAACTGTTTTTGCGATTCTTGGCGGTCTTGTGTGCCTTCTCTTCGTAGGCTATTATAGAGCTGATAGACAATCTGAAATCATGTTTAAATTTGTTATGATACATTTAGATTGAACATTTCATACATTTATACATTTTAAATACCAAATTCAAATTCAAGACAAAAATAGAATTGAAATTTGAATTCATTGCGGTTCAAAATTTTTATATTTCCAAATTTTGATAAGTGTAGTTAGTGTATATCTGCAGTTAAAGCTCCGTCTCAAATATGAGTGACCTGAGCAGGTGGCAACCGATTTTCGTCCTTTCTGTCAGATCGAACCCATCGAATAAATCGGTTTTCGATGACATTTTTCGTTTGTTACGATCGACCGATGCCGAAAAATTGTTCTACCCTGTTAATCTTAACAAACTGTAACCCATATAATTATATAGGCGTGATAGAATAATAAAGTGACGCTCCACATCAAAAAAATAGTCTGCATCGAATCTCCATTATATTTTCAAAATATTACTATTTTAGAAAATGATTACTGGGAATATACTCTGTAGAACCATGGTTTTAAATTTTTTCCTTATCATTGTCGCGTGTTTAGTGTTTACCCATGTCACAAAACACCGAAAGTATTTGCATATTTTATTCATCGTGTATATGAAAAAGTATTGATCTCCGTATGGAAATATTCAAATGTCCTGCAACGCGGTATTTTATTTTTTTATGTTTTTATCATATTATTATAATTTTATCTATGAATATTTTTAAATAAATAGACATAATATTTCTCATACTAATTGAAAATATTTATCATATAATATTTCAGTAGTAAAATAGTAGCTCCCATTATTGTGCCGGGTTTTTTCTAAGAAAATGATTAAGCAAAAATAACAAAAATATATTTTTTAATTCGAATCAATACTTATTTTTTTATTAGTGTTGGGCGTATGGACGAAGGAAAATAATATTTCTATACGTGCCACTATATTCGGTCACGATTTTAATATTTGATAATAATAATAAAAAAAGACTAGAATATAATATGGCGTGGAATAATATAAAATTGCAGTTCAACAATTACTTTTGTGTTTGCCATTCCAATGTTAATGTATTACGAAGTATATCATAATAACATATTATTATATTTTAAATAATTGTTGAACTGTAATAGTTATCAGCTGAAAGTTCTAAAATAAAAACATATTATATTATTATATTGTACTATAATTGAAACTTAAACAAACAAAATACGATAATAACGACACCTTTGTCATTTTTCAGGGGCAGGACGTGCGAGTGGTACAACAAGATATACGGACACATCACTTCCAAATATTTGTCGGCGATACGAAAATCTTTCGAACACTCGGCTGACGGTCCCGAGAGCAAAGTATGACTCGGGCGCCGCTGATTGTTATTGGTTTTGTTTTTTTTAATATATTGTTGTTATTATTATTATCGTTATATTATATTTAATCGTTCTCCCGTAAACGATTTCCGAGTCGACACAAAATAATTGTAATGATATAATACCATCAATAATAATTATTGTATTAATTATTAATAGGTACCTATATACCTGTGTAATATATTATTCAATATTGTACATAATATTATTAAATGTTATGATATGAGTGTTATTCGATAATCGGACGACGAGTCGCGATGGACGCGTTCAAATATTATATATTTGTATCATTGTATTATTATATAATTTCTTTTTTATTATTATTATATTATTATCATTATTTTATTTTGCATGTTCTAACTGTACACAATATTATTACTATATAACCTAGACCGCGTTGTTACAAAACAGTAGACTGATCGGGGTACGTGTATCCACGCGTGCCCCTCCCCTTCCGACCTCCTAGAAAACACAAAACTCTTATCGGTTTTTATTATTTTTATTTTTAACGAATTCGTAAAGGTCATGATTATTACGAATAATTTTTGCTTACGAATAAAAACACCGACGCAGTGATACGACGCTATTATCGGTAGTATTATTATCGTTATAATATTTTATTATTATTATTATATCGTACACGCGAAATTGTGTGCGGTGTATCGGTACAATAACTGCAGAAAAACGGTGCAATCAAAACAGGGTATAGTTTTCGATTGTATTTAAAAAAAAAAAAAATTAATTCGCGTACCAATTAAAAAAGTTCCTATGATGTTATTATGATTTATATTGTACAACGACAATATTATTATATTATGCAATAACCGATATTCAGTTCATTCGACCATATTATTATAATACACCGCGCGATTTGACTTATTTCTCTACCCATATTATACACCCTGCATATAATCCAAAAACGATATCTGCACGGACGAGACAAACACTGTTAGAAATTTTAAAATTCAAAATATGTCGACGACGGGACCATAATAATAATAATATATTATTGTTGTTGATTTATGCTGACAGTAAAGAAACACATCACATTACGTTATTATTATAATTTATGATAGACATTTTACTTAATTTTTAAGCGTTTGAAATGTATATTTTACCATTTTATTTCTTTTTTATAATCATTATTATTATTATTACTGTGTATTGTGTTTGTTAATAGCTATAATAAGTATACTATATTATTATGTAGGTGCCTCTTACCTTACTTTTCAAAAAAAAAAAATCGCGCATTTTATGTTTTGAAACATAAATTATTATTATATGCGTTTTTAAACTAATATAATATATTAATTGTACATTTCGTCGCTCAAGACGTACTATCGTGTATAATATGATAATTATTATTATTGTTCAGTGTTAGAATATACCTTATTATATATATATTTTTTTTTCTTGTGTTAAATTATGATTTAGAGATATTATAAAATAAAAATATTGTTCTATGTTCAGTACAAAACGTTTGTATTATACTTTTGCCCAATATATTATGTTGAACATCGATCACTATAATAGTATAATAATATAGGCATTTGGCTAAATTTTATATTGTTGAGTATACATTCAGTACCTTGTTAATGTACGCATTGAGCAATTATTGCATGTTCATAACTTATGAATAATATAGGTACAGAGTAATACAATACGCTTATGATGATTTGAATTTTATAGTTATATATGAACGGAAAAAAGCTTAACTAAGTGTGACTTTTTAATTTAATAATTTATCAAGCATTCAAAAAAAAAAATATATATTAATATAATCATACATCATAGTAAATAATATTATATTTTAGAAAACTATAATATTATATTAGGATAATTTAAAACTTCTTATTAATATATTAAGATTTCCAGACTTAAATACTATATGCAAACAATTTTGTTTTGCCAACTAAGTGCCTGATTCGGCTATTCGGGCCATATGTCACGAAGGGTTCTCTAACACCTGTTGCGTTGGTCTGATAATTCCCAAACACCCTCTTATCTCCTTATTATAACATCCAAAGCGTTAATAACGCACAAAAACTCGCGGGTTGTCTTCATAACTATAATATAAGTGTCTAGGTATTGCCATTGATTCTAAGGTGACACTCGAATTGCCTCCCAAATCTAGGTGGGTGACCTTTTTCTACTCAAATTGCTTCTCATAACGTACCTGGATTATAAATCAATAAATCGATAGTTGTACGTAACTTGTAATTTAATATTGGGTGTATGGTGTTCGGCAAACTTATCTTAACTTAATCGTTGCCCGGAATAAAAATTCTGATTCGCAGCAGTACGTTATCAGGTAGGCAATCTACGTGCAGTAGATCGCGGACCCCGAACTGTTTGTACTCAAGTGTATGATTTAACTCTAAAGTATCAAAGTTATACCAAGTTTGTAGTTTTTATTTAATTAAATCTACGGTGGATTAAAATAATCAATTAATACAAATATCCAAACCTAACCTGACCGTACTAAAATCCGACGAGTAAAAAAAAATCAAATTGATCACTTTTTAAATCAGCCTATCTTCTTCCCAGAGGTCTAATCTACACACAAACAGTTTATTAATGTATAGATGTTTATGTTTATTTTAATAAATAATCGGTTGCTAACAGTTACACATCCCAAACAGCTTATAGCAACCAAATGAACAACCACGTAGAGAAAAATTTCCTGTTATGACACCCCCTTGGAGGTCGTTATCCGACATAAAAACTATCCCCGCATGTTTTACTCTAGGTCATAACCTACTTGTATACCAAATTTCATTCAAATTCCTTCAGAACTTTTAGCCTGATCGAGTAACAAATATCCAAACACACAAATATTTTCGAATTTCTAATATTAGTATGATTTTAGAACTGTATGTTATATTTAGTGAAAACCATATTTTAACTTGGTAAAAACCAGTGGCGTCCGAAGGGGGCTAAAGGGCTGAAGCCCCCCTCCATTGCCCGTATTGTTGTTACTTTTTCAAAACAATATTAATCAAGTTAAGCTGTCAACTATAGTAAGCAAGAAGTAAATTTCATATCTGTCTTACCAGAATGAATTCCTTTTTGAAAGAACATTGTATTTGCATACCAATTTTCATAAATTATCTGTAATTTTTAGGTAAAAGTATGAACTACTTGTATGAAAGACCTTGTATTAAATTGTCTAGCTTTAGCTATATATATTTTATATTTTATAAGTTTTGAACAAAAAATTAACTGTCATTTTGACGAAATTTGAACTTTAAATGCTTATAAAAAATAACCATGGTGCCTAATATATAGTGTTTGAAGTATGAAATATTTCACAAAAACGTGACACATTGAAATTTTTTTACACAAATAAAAACACTATTTATTTATTTTTTTAACACAATGTTCAGTGTTCTAAATTCTAATGATAGAATTCAGTATTTATACAATATACATGTATAATATTGTATACCTACTTGTATCATTTAGACATTAAAATATTTAAAAATTTTGAATACCATTTTAAATATATAATACCAAAGGTCAGGTATACATACAGGTACCATATAGTTATGAAGGTAATTTATGACAATTATATGTACATATTATAAAACTTATTTAAAAATAAAACAAAATATATCAAAATACTGAAATACCTATTTCATTTTTTTAAATTTCATGAAATTTTCAAACACTATGTCCATGTAGGTATCGTTAACATTTTAGCTATAGTAAAATAACTTACTTATTACATTTTTAAGGTTTTTGACCGGATAAATAATTTTTTATTGACATTTATATAGAAAAAAAAAATTAATTATTCAAATACAATCCAAATGAAGACGGTATAACCAAACATTTAAATACATTTTCATTTTTCTTTTCTCCAATTATTTTTATAAGCACTGAGAATTTTCAATTTCGACCACCTAAAAGTACCAACTTGATCCAATTTGCTTCCAAAAACATACACTGGGCATCGAAGCTTATGATCAGAGCATTTTTTCTACCATAAAGGTTACAAACATTTTAAAATACCTCAAATAAACGTCTAAAACTGGATGGTCAAAGTAGGTCCTAGATAATGATAGTTTGGTTTCCCGACCGGTGTGTCCCGAAATTCTCACTAAGATTAGGTTTTTTATAAAAATTGTAATGTATCTTGTTTTTTCCATTTCTATAAAATAAATATTTAGGATAATTATGATAATATTTTTTTTCTTTCCTACCATTTTAAATTGTTTCCTAGTAATATAACTATACTGATATACAACTACTTTGGTATTAATAATTAATATGATGAAAGTCTAGTATATAAAAAAATATGTATACATAATACATATATATATAAGTCAGTGACAAGTGTGCCGAGGCTAAATATGGGTTGGAATTAGTGTGCCGAGGGGGGGGGGAAAGGTTGGGAAACGCTGATTTGGGGCTTACAATTTTCACGGTACCTGCCTAATATAATATTATAAGTCATAAGTCTAAGATATTTTTCGGTAAGATATTATAGACGGAAATTAGCGTAGGACGTAGGTGTATGGTGGTACTGAAATATTTTACTCTCGGGCGAAGCAGGGTAATTCAGCTAGTATATATATTATATATATAAGACCATAACATATATAATATGATATTCATTAAAACAACTCAGACTAATTATACCTTGAAGCTAATAATTAAAAAGGTGGGCGAGTGGGTGTCGCTCTGCTGTACAGTAGGTCACAATTGGGTCACTATATAATGGATGATATTAAATTTGAATTCAACGATATAATATCATTGTAGAAAAACGATTCTGAGCGGTAATAGGTAGGTACCTATAATAAATTCCAAATTAATCATATCACAATATCCATTAGGTACTTATAAGTTATAACGCGTTATACATCAACAAAAACCGTGATACTATCATAGATATATAATAGTATACTTTAGAAGTTTCAAGTACCCACGAATAATATTATTCAATCACAACAAAATAACTAAAATAGTTATTCTAGGTTTTT